GGGCAGCCACGAACAGGTCTTTGGCATCACAAGGTCTTGGGATGTATTTCACTCCGATGTTGGGAAGGTCTTCTCTCCTGCGGACCCTGCGCCCTGCCCTGGTAGACCACTGTCTGACCCCACACTATAAGAGATGGGTACTGAGATGGTATGGAGGTACCAGGCTACTAGACATGACCACACACAAGATGAGGGTGAGCTTGAATGAGTGTTAACCTGTCCAACGTCCGCTTTTGGCAGACCTGGGCTTTCTTGATGAAGGTTCAATTGCACCATTCTATATGTCACACTTCACTAAGTAAGGGGACCAAAACCACTGAGGTCAAAACACATGCTCACGGAATATAACTCGGAAATGACATGGCAAGCTATTTAGCTGTGTAAGCGATGTATCCAGAGAACCTTTCTATGGGTATGCACAATTGACAGGGGAGCAGCAGTGCCAATTGGAGCGGATTGAGAATGGACCAACAGTGAGCTTGGAATGGACCAACAGGATGTCCAGTCAACATCTTGTGTTTTCCCCACCGACCACATGACGGAGAGAACTTATCAACTGTTCGTGGGGACAGAGTCCAAATTCCAAAACGTTCAAGTCATATTTGGATACTCAGCATCTGCCTGATAGACCTACCCACCCAACTTCTTCAAGCACAGATGCCCAAACTCATCCACCAAACTCTCCTCGATCTCCATCACCAATGTGGACCTGCCAAACGCTCTCGATGACGAGACATGCTTCAAACAAGGTCAATGGTTGGTATCTCCAAACATGAACATATAGTATAACAATGATTTATATAGCCTCATATGATCATAAAAATACTGTTGGCTTTGGCAAGTCAAACTGTCTGGGCCCAGCAAACTTGTTTCGAGTCTCCTGTCGAGGCGCCCGGATTCTTCCCCACGCCCCTCCTTGATGTGGGGTCTTTGGGACAAACCCTCGAAAGCGTTGCTGCAACATTCGCGCGAAAACATTCGAGAATAAAACACATTGGAAGGCTCTACTTTTGTTGTCTTGCTGTGGAAATGCAAATGTGCACAAGGACAGCTTTGGAAGGAATGGAGTTCTGTGTTGTCAATGTCCAACAAGTGTGAATGGTAGGGCCGAACCCAGGGCTGTGATAGAGCTGGCTTAGGCAGCAATTCATTTGTCCCACTCAAAGGCCACCCAAGGTCCAAGAAAGCTGTACCACAAGGTCGCGTGAGACACAAGCCATCCGATATCTCTAGCCCCAAGGTTCGCTAGAGTTTCCCAGCCTGATTCCAGTTGCGTTCAATCAGTACTTGACCTGTTCCAACAGCTTGTCCGGCGCTATGTGGTGGTACTTTAGGAATTGAATGTCTTAGGAACTGACTGGGGTTAGTCTGGCGTGAGTGAGTTTCCCCCAGTCGCGTCACGCGTCCAAGTCCCTGATCGTGCAGTGCCCAAGGGGCCAGCGCTTGTGGCGGCCCACATATCCACAGGTCAGCGGGAAGCTCAAAGACAGGACCTCATGCGGATCGAGGCCGCGGATCGGTGAACAAGAGACCTCACCGGTTCCCAGCATGAAATGCCCGTAAATGTTACATGTTTTGCATGTTGGTGACCTAAAGATTCTGACTTCCAAATTTCACAGAATAGTGAGAGTGGTCCTGATATTGGTTGGAGAGGGTTTGAGGGAACCAGCACCATTTCTTCCAAATGATCGGTTTTGTTGTTTTTTCTGCGTCTCTTTGGCTTAGAGAAAGTTTTTTGGGGGCCTGCGGAGACAAAGCAAAGTCACAAGGTATTTCAATAACATTAAGAGACAACAATGTAGTCAAATTTTCCGCCCGGAACGGAATTCTTTAAGCAACCAATCGGCCAACATCCCACTTCCAGGTGTTGTCTTTGCTCTGGAGAGTATTGAAACACACAATGTATAGCTGGATATGAGTTGATAGCTTGGAAGAAACATGACAAAAACAAGATGGAGCCCACGAACCCGAATGCAAACACGATCGAAAAGCTATTACATATGTCCAAGTGACACTCTTGTAGGACACTCTTGTGGGACACTCTTCTGGGACACTCTTGTGGGACGCTCTTGTCGGAAACTCTTGTGGGTCACTCTTGTAGGACACTCTTGTGGGTCACTCTTGTAGGACACTCTTGTGGGTCACTCTTGCAGGACACTCTTGTGGAACACTCTTACAGGACACTCTTGTGGGACACTCTTGTAGGACCTGTAGGACACTCTTGTAGGACACTCTTACAGGACACTCTTGTGGGACACTCTTGTGGGACATTCTTGTAGGACACTCTTGTGGGACAACTCTTGTATGACACTCTTGTGGGTCACTCTTGTAGGAAGCACTTGCGGGGCACTGTTTTGGGACACTCTTGTAGGACACTCTTGTGGGACACTCTTGTAGGACACTCTTGTGGGTCACTCTTACGGGGCACTCTTGTAGGACACTCCTGTGGGACACTCTTATAGGACACTCTTGTGGGTCACTCTTATGGGACACTCTCTTGTGAGACACTCTTGTAGGGCACTCTTGTGGGTCACTCTTACACGACACTCCTTGTGGGACACTCCTATAGGACACTCTTGTGGGTCACTCTTACAGGACACTCTTGTAGGACACTCCTGTGGGACACTCTTGTAGGACACTCTTGTAGGACACTCTTGTGGGACACTCTTGTGGGACACTCTTGCGTGACACTCTTGTAGGAAACCCTTGTGGGACACTCTTGTAGGATGCTCTTGCGGGACACTCTTATAGGACACTCTTGTGGGACACTCTTATAGGACACTCTTGTGGGTGACTCTTATGGGACACTCTTGTCGGACACTCTTCTGGGACACTCTTGTGGGACGCTCTTGTAGGAAACTCTTGTGGGTCACTCTTGTAGGACACTCTTGTGGGTCACTCTTGTAGGACACTCTTGTGGAACACTCTTACAGGACACTCTTGTGGGACACTCTTGTGGGACACTCTTGTAGGACACTCTTACAGGACACTCTTGTGGGACACTCTTGTCGGAAACTTGTTGGGATACTCTTGTGGGACACTCTTAAGGGACACTCTTGTGGGACACTCTTAAGGGACACTCTTGTGAGACACTCTTGCGGGACACTGTAAGGGACACTCTTGTGAGACACTCTTGTGGGACACTGTTGCGGGACACTCTTGTGGGACACTCTTGTGGGACACTCTTGTAGGACACTTGTGGGACACTCTTGTTGGACACTCTTGTGGGAGACTTTTGTAGGAAACTCTTTTGGGATACTCTTGTAGGACACTCTTGTGGGACACTCTTGTAAGACACTCTTGTGGGACACTCTTGTGGGGCACTCTTGAGGGACACTCTGGTGGGACACTCTTGTGGGACACTCTTATAGGACACTCTTGTGGGACACTCTTAAGGGGCACTCTTGTGAGACACTCTTGTGGGACACGGTTGCGGGACACTCTTGTCGGACACTCATACGGGACACTTTTGTGGGACACTCTATCTGGGACACTCTTGTAGGACACTCTTGTGGGTCACTCTTGTAGGAAGCTCTTGGGCATGGCGCCACGCAAACGCACTTTGCCGCGCAAATCCCAATGGCACTGCGACATCACGAACGTCGCGTCGCCAC